TCTCCATAAAATACATTTCTAATGTTTTCTAATTTGTCTCTTTTTTCCTTCTTTCCAATTTAACTTCTTTTTTTTTTTAATTTTTAGAACACCAATATATTCTCACACGTTACAAATCCAAGTTGGAGTATTTATTTGCAATTTTTATTACACCCTACTACGCGGGGTAACGCGACTTATTGGAGTCGAACTCCGGTTGGGAAGGCCGAGTCAAATGGACTTAAGCACTTGACTAAAGGCACATCCCCGTTCTATTTTTTTTAAGTTCTATTTTTAATTGTTTTTCTATTTTTCAACTCACCAATAAGATTTATATACATACATTGAGAAAATTTATATCTATTATTTTGGTCAGTTAATGTGTAATTATAAATTTAAGTATTTAGATAAATGGCATTACATTTTTTTATTAAAGTTTTTACTCTCATGATCTATATGTATTCATAAATTTGCAAACCATAAGTTACAAATTTAAATTTTTTAACTTATAAATTGAAAAACCATTTATGTAATTATTCTCAACATCACTTATCAAAAAGTGAAGAGTTTGTTTTCCCTTTTTTAATACATATAGCTGTTTCAAGATGATTTTGTTCTTGCATACGTAAAACTCATGGGATCGTGAGTAAAAAAAAAATCAGAGTAAAACTGATAGATTATGCCATTCTTTATTTCTTTTACATAATTGCTCAGCGTTTGAGAGGGATCGACGTTTAAGTTTCATATATCTCGAGTAAATAGTTTTTTTTTTTTAATATTGTGCAACATTTGACTTGATTATGTTTTGAATTCAATTTTTTTAAGTTAATCATACAAATTAAGTAAGAAATAAAGATTATTTGAAAGAATATAAAATTTGTATTTATTTTTATCAAAACAACATAAAAGTTTCCATAAAACCAAACCAATGAAATTCAACAAAAAAATTTAAAAAGTTCCACCAAAGGTTTTTTTTTTATCTATCCTCATTGGATTTTTGAAAAGAATTATGTTTGCTAAGGGTATAGAATATCATAATTACTACTTCAGTTAAAACCTAACATGCCATTAAAGTATTTAGATAAATGGCATTACATTATATTTATAAATATTTTGTACTTTTATGACCTATATATATATATATATATATATACACAAATTTTATAAAATGGCATATTTATTTTGTTTTCAAACAATCAAATTTTAAATATATATATATATATATATATATATATATATATATATATATTAAAACTGAACTAAATTTTTTAAATAGAACCTTTCAAAAATAAAATTTTATTATATCATCTGAAGTCATTTTCCGAAATTGAATATGATTATAATTAAGTGTAACATATACTCCCTCCGTTTCAAAATATAAGGCGTTTTAGAGAAACTTTTTTGTTTCACAATATAAGTCGTTTTCAAGTTTCTATGCAAATTATATATTATTTTAATACTTTATGATAATTTATATTATGCAGTCTTTTTTATGATTGGTTGAACTTTTAAAAAGTAGATCTTCTTAATTGGCGTGCGTTTAGCTAAAACGCCTTATATTTTGAAACGGAGGGAGTATAAAATAGAGAAATTGCCTCTAAGAGCATCTCCAACCTATCTCTATATTTGCCTCTATAAATAGAGGTAAATATAGCAATCTCTATTTTAGAGGCAAATATGCTCCAACCCAGCTCTATTTTTGCCTCTAAAATAGAGATTGCTATATTTGTCTCTATTTATAGAGGAAAAAATAGAGTTCCTTTATTTTATAGAGGAAAAAATAGAGATCTCTATTTTAGAGGTGAAAATATAGTGGGTTGGAGTAAAACTCACCTTTATTATAGAGTTCCTCTATTTTAGAGGTAAAAATAGGGAAAACCATTGGAGATGGTCTAATAGCCCCAAATCAAGTTTCTGGGACAAAAATAGCACTTAAAAGTTTATTGGACAAAAATATCTACTTATTTTTTCTTTTTAAAAGTAATAAATAATTGCAAAAAATACAAAAATCACAAATTCATCTTTAATATTTTCCCGCCAAAAAAGATCCAAAATATGTTTTTTTCTCATTTGGACCACCTTGCTATTTTATTAAATTTAATCATTATCACAAATTATTTAAATTTCTCTTTAATTTTTAACATATATAGATAAAATTTAGAAAAAAATAATAAATATGAATATGTTTTACCATTGATCTCCTAATTTTATTATGGATTATATGTATATAATATCTAAAGCTTATTGTCGAGGGAAAGTCATGAGATTGGGAAGATCTACCTTCTGATGAGATCCAAGGAGGAAAACAGCCAATATCAAACCCAATTATCAACCCGAACCCACATAAATTTCAAATAACAAACCTGAACTATGTAATAGTTAGCCAATTTCAACATATACCTGTTATTAAATAATGTAACAAACCTGAATTATTTAACCTTTAGCTAATTGAATAAAATGAATGATTCAGATACAAAAGAACAGATAATTATGACTTAACAATTCTAATCGACAACAACAAATACAAAAAAATCTATATTGAAATTGGATAACGGTTCGATAGTTCAGGTTTGTTTTTTAAAAATTGTATGAGTTCGGGTTGACAAGTACAAGGGGTCAGAGTTTGGGTTGAAAAGGGCCGCATAGAAATAGTTGGAGTTGATTTTGCCCATTTTCTCGATCCAAGGATCATGAATCAGCAAACAAGAGACTCTATTGTTTCAAGACAAATGGTAATAAATGCATTTCCACAGTAAAATAGTTTATATAAATTAAGAAAAAGTAGTGGTATATATATTACATATATATATATATATATATATTTTTGTCAAAAGTAGTGGTATATATTTATGTCATACCATCTTCAATAAAAAAAGAACAAAATTTATTTTTTAGCAATTCACAAAGTACTTCAAAAAGGAACATAAAAGTTAATATTTTAAAAATTCTTTTCAAAAAACTATGGGCCTGATTGGCAAGTGCTTTAAAGTCTTTACAAAGAAAACAAATTTCTAAAGATTTGAAATACATCCAATCAAGCTTTAGAAGCTTTAGCTTTCCTTTTTTTTCTCACAGCCAAAATATTTCCTTAATTCATTTTTTTGGCTGTAGAAAGCCTTTTTTCCTAAAGCACATAATTTTCAACTTAAGGGCCTGATTGGCAAGTGCTTTAGAGTCTTTACAAAGAAAACAAATTTCTAAAGATTTGAAATACATCCAATCAAGCTTTAGAAGCTTTAGCTTTCCTTTTTTTTTTTTCTCACAGCCAAAATATTTCCTTAATTCATTTTTTTGGCTGTAGAAAGCCTTTTTTCCTAAAGCACATAATTTTCAACTTTCCAAAATTTTAAATTCTACAGCCAAAATACTACAGCAATAAAATCTACAGCCACAGCAAATAAACCTACAGTCATATTTCTACAGCAAAAAATATTAATAATCGAACGTATTACTTTAATACAAATTTCATTTTTTATTCAGAATTAATATTAAATATATAACCCACGCATCGCGTGGGCAAATTTCTAGTATATATATATATATATGTTTAGAATTTCTTACTTATTTTCATAATAAATGATTCATGTTTGAAAATATAAAAGAAAGTAGAGATAGATTAAGTTTTTCACTTTTTTTGCAGCTTTTTCATAATAATAATAGCACTAGATATCCAAATTAAAGAGAAAAAAAAACTAAATATGGTTATTAAGTTAAATGTACTATATGTATGACGGCTAGCTAATTAATAATGTTGAAGTGACATTACCCCGGCAACGGCGGTGGCATAGCAAGAACCGCATTTAGGCCCGTAGGAATCGCCACGGCATTGGAATACAACGTTGACAGAATTCGGAGCCTCGCCATGAGAAGTGTGTCTGAAACCGTCACGAAAATGATACTTAGAGATATGATCGATGAGATAATTAAGGTTTTCCTCGTACGCGCTTCCCGGATTATATTTCCCTTGATTAGCGAGACATTTGTGGTGCAAATATGCATTGGTAAGATTGAGGGATGAAACGCTACGAATGAGGACTTGTATACACAAGGTATAGACACAAATGAGGCATTTGAATAGAGAATATGATGAGTACATTGCTTTAGATTTTTATTCTTTTCGAGAGGATGTGTTTTGAGATAAATGAAGCGATGTGATTGAGATGTTGGAAAGGGAGACTCGGAAGGATTTTAGCTGACTGTCTTTCTTTAGTAACTAGATTAACTAATAATCTCAAAACGATTTTTTTTTTTGGTAACCTATATACAAATTCGATTGATCATTTCAGTTTGTAGAAGAAATGTGTTTTTTTTTTCTCTATCACAGAAAGGAGAGAAGATTTTGGGTATTTTTCGGCGAGGGATAGGGAGGGCTGATGAAAAAGTCAAATGTTTCATTAAGTTTAACTTTGTAGAAAAAGTCAGAGAAAGCTTTCTCTGTTTCTATATAAAAAAAAAAAATCCAAAGCTCTGTACAAGAAGGAAATTAAGATCCTATATACGAAGATCCGACGACTAACCTTACTAGGATCATAAGAGCAGCCAGATTTAGACAGATCAAATACTTGAAAATCTTAGAATGAAGCAAACATCTAGAAATCCAATAAAAAAAAAAAAACACTATGAAAAGGATGAAGCCTCGTTGCATAAACATTTTTTTAGGTTAATTATGATCATTTTTATCTCATATGATGGTGCAATGTCATAGTGGTGGCTTCGAGCAGCCCTCATTTGGGAATGTCAAAGACAAAAAAGATAGCACAAAAGTATATCTGTGTCGAAGTGATGTAGGGGAAATAGTGGAGATAATATATGGGTGTGTGTTATCTATCATAATAAAAATCGCATGTTTGTCGATAATCCAGCCAGGTCTTTGTTGTGGTCAATTGGGTGGTGCTTGGCCGATTAGAATTGTAGTTTGCTAACAAAGTTAAAACTCGTTCAATAAGACAGTTATTTAGTTACTAAGATACATGTGATGATCATGCTTAGGGGTGTCAAAATGGTTAACCCAACTCAACTCAACTCATTACCCAATAAGTTTAGAGTTAAATGAGTTCATGGGTTGACTCAACTCATTTAAGCAAATGAGTTGAGTCAACCCATGAACTCATTTAATTTGATGGGTTAGAAGGTTAAATGGGTTGACCCATTGACCTATTAATGTAATAAATAAATTAATAATTAAAATATAATAATAATCATCAACATCACTATTATTTGGCGGAAAAATCACGGATTTACGTTTTTGGCGGGAAAATTACACAATTTTGTTTTGGGTTAAAAATTATAAATTTTTGGCGGGAAAATCACGGATTTACGTTTTTGGCGGGAAAATTACGGACTTATGTTTTTGGCGGGAAAATTACGGATTTACGTTTTTGGCGGGAAAATCATGGGTTTACGTTTTTGGCGGGAAAATTATGGATTTACGTTTTTGGTGGGAAAATTTTACATTTTCATTTTTGGTTAAAAATTATAAAAAAATTTGGCGGAAAAATCACGGATTTACGTTTTTGGCGGGAAAATCTCGGGTTTACATTTTTGGCGGGAAAATTTTACATTTTCATTTTTGGTTACAAATTATAAAAAATTTTGGCGGGAAAATCTCGGGTTTACGTTTTTGGCGGGAAAATCTCGGGTTTACATTTTTGGCGGGAAAATTTTACATTTTCATTTTTAGTTACAAATTATAAAAAATTTTGGCGGGAAAATCACGGATTTACGTTTTTGGCGGGAAAATTACGGGTTTACGTTTTTGGCGGAAAAATCATGGGTTTACGTTTTTGGCGGGAAAATTACATATTTTCGTTTTTTGTTAAAAATTATAAATTTTTTTGGCAGGAAAATTAAAGACTATATTCAATCGGTTTAGAAGTTTTGGTTAGACTCAAATTGAAATCGGTTTAGAGATTTAAATTGGTTTGATTCAATTTAACAAAAATTGATAGGTCAAATGGGTAAACCATTGAAACCATTGACCCATTACAACCCAACTCATTTGATCCATCAACTCATTTGACTCAATAACTCATTTGATCCATCAACTCATTTGAGTCAAAATTTTCAACTCATTAGGGTTCATGGGTTGAGTTGAGTTTTGGTTGACCCAAGAATTTTGACCCATTTTGACACCCCTAATCATGCTATAGTCATTTGACCAATTCTTAGAAAACATATCCAGAAAATAAGAATGAGAAGAGAGGAGACGTTATATTATATTATCTCTTTACTAATAATAAAATCAAAGGTTCAATAAATAATAGAGGTACAACTAGGACCTAACAAACAAAAGAGGAAAGCGGAGCAAAAACCCAAAACCGATAATGGAAGGTAATAAAAAGGGAAAATTGTCAAGAGAATTGTGGGTTGCATCATTCTCAAAAAAAAGTTTAAGTCCTAAGAAAAGGGTAAAGCTCATACCTAAAGTTACAGCTTGTACCCAAAACTCTCCCTCCTTGTTTACCGTCACAACATTTGGGAAACTCGCTGATAATCCTTTCCAAACACTCCTTACACAATGTCTTAAACATGAATACATCTCTCGTACACTGAACCATTGCGTACAACTTCTTCGTCCCAACCATCATCTCCCTGGCCGCGTACAGTGCCATCATTCCGTCCTCCATGTTATCTTTACGGTTTGCTTCCAACGTCAGCTGTTCTAGGAAAGCCATTGTCTCCTTGTTGAAAGACTTTGCATCACCAATTACCTTGTTCGGGTTGTGCATATAAAAATTGTTATCGTAATTCACCTCCATGAACTCGATTGCAGTAATCTCGACAAAACACTGGTCGAACCATATTATTCCACCTTTGTTTCTCGGACATCTCCTACGAAGCTGTCAATTACATAATTATATATCAAGAAAACAGTCTAGAACAATATTCTATCAGTCTTATCTCAATTAAGCCACCAACACAGAGTATCATGAGTTATCGGAATTATTACCATTTTAAGAACAAAACTGAAACTATTTTGAAAATTTTCCAGTCGAAGTTATGTTTGTTTTTTTTTCTTTCGAAAGTTATATATGGGAAATTAATTAGTAAGTAGATGAAAATTGATAACCAAAAAAAACAAATAGGGAAATTATCAAAAATACCACTAATTAAAATGAAAAACTATAATTTGTTTTTTTTCTTCTCAAAAATACCATTAATTTTTTTTTTCCGAAAATAAAACTGAACTTTCAACTTTCAAAACTAAATCCTAAATCCTAAACAATAAACCCCTAAAAATTATAGCCTAAACCCAAACCCAAAATTTAAATTATAAACCTTTAAAAATCACTTTTATATGTGGTATTTTTGGACTAAAAGAACTTGTAATGGTATTTTTGAAAAAAAAAAGAAAAAACTATAGTGATGGTATTTTTGAACAAAAATTAATTTAGCTGTATTTAAAGGTATTTCTCAAAAAAATAATCTTACCAGCATATTATAGGGTATGTCCATTTATAATTTATATTATGTTAGATATATTTGATAAAATTTCATATATAATCGAAATAAAGTACTTATGGCAAGTAAAGATATGTTCAATTCCATATATTAACTGTACATATCAATTAAAGATTAATAAGTTTTATTTTTGTAATTTAAAATTTCTGTAACGAAAAGATTGCTTTTAATTTTCTCTCATATTTTTATAACAATACACAAATCAATGCCAAAATTTTGAAATTCCTCTGAAATTTACGTGTTTGCGAAATGTAAACATTCTCTTCAAAAAATGAATTCGCAAATTATATACAAGGGATAACGAATATAAGTGACGTTACCCCGGAAATGCCCGCGGCAAAGCAGGAGTGGCACTTGGACTGGTAGGAGTCTCCACGGCACTGGAATATGATGTTAACCATATTGGGACTTCCCATAGCAGTTGTCATGTGACCAAAGCCGTTGCGAAAAGTTGAGTTAATAATCAAATCGATGTGAGAGTTAAGGTTTTTCTCGTACTGACTCCCTGGCTTATATTTTCCTTGACTGGCGAGGCATTTGTGGTGCAGATACGCATTAGTCAGGTTCAGGGACGAAACATTGTGTATAAGGAGCAGTTGTGTGGCCACCACGGCCAAGAAAAGGACCAAAACAAGTCGTTTTGATAAAGAATATGAATTGTGCATTGTTTTTGGTTTTTTTTTTTTTCAGAGTTAGATGTTTTCCCCATATATGAAGGGCTAAGATTGGGATGTTTCTATATATATAGAAGACTCAAAAGGATTTACCTGATTGGATTTATTATATTAGTAACTGAATTAACTAATTATTTCAAAACTGTAACTTTTTATGTTTACCTTAACCTTATACAAATTGGATTTAATCATTTCAATTTGTAGAAAAAATGTTTTTCTGTCTCTAACAGAAAGGAGAGAGGATTTTAGTATTTTCGGCGAAGGATAGGGAGGGCGGATGAAAAAATCAAAGTTCAAAGCCTTTACTAAATTAAAACTTTTAGAAAACAGAAATCATACGATACCACTGGTTTTGTGCAAGGAGCAGCATGATTTTGAGTTCTTTTGTGAAGCTGTTTTAACTTTAACGTAGACTGTTTTTTTTTTTGAATACTAAGAGGTTCTGGGCCAAAGCATGCATGCATTGCGATGAAGTGGAAACTTATTAGCGCTATTTGTTAATCCAAATACATTGGAATTGACATATTTTTTTAACAGGATAAACGTAACACAACGGAAATACATCATGAATCTTCTTGAACGACATAATGAAAAATTATGTATGCCGATGACATCTTCACCAAAACTGACGCTTACATCCAATACATCTCTTTCTGATCGGTTAAACATTTCTTGCTTGCTAGAAGTTTGCAATATCTTAAAATTACAGGTTTGATAGAGCTACGGATGATCACAAAATTATCTTGTCAATTGGGGAGTAGTTTTACCCGTTGAATTACTTGGAAATTGTAGGATTATGTCTAAATACCTCTAGAAACGGTCAATGAGACCAACTCAGATTAAGCAGTGACGCTAAAATATTAGGCTAAGTAACTACACGTGACGCTAAGAGATAGTCACCAACAATTAATTAGAATACGGAATGCTATGTTCATAACCAATTTAAGATGCCAAGAATAATAGAGCTTCTTATTCATAGCTAGTTAACAACTGTAATTAATAACCAAATCAAGAGTCAGGAATAACACAGCTTGGGATCTCATTCATAGGCACACTTATGATCTAAACCAACATATAGGGAAATCGAAGGAGAAACAAAAAATAAAAAAATAGTAAAAAGATCAAAAAACCGGAACTGAAAGTAAACAAAACTGAAGTAAAATGAGTAAGGTGTCAAGAGAATGTGTTGTGCATCGTCATCCAACAGTTGTTGAATCTGAAGTCCTTAGAAAAGGGTAAAGTTCATACCTAAAATCACAGCTTGTACCTAAAATCCGTCCTCCTTGTTTACCGTCGCAGCACTTGGGAAACTCCTTTATAATGTTTTCCAAACACTCCTTACACATCTTAGGCCTAACTAGATCTCTCATACACTGAACCATTGCGTACACCTTCTTTGTCCCGAGCCTCTTCTCCCCTGATGCGTACAGTGCCATCTTGCCATCGTCCATGTTGTCTATACTGTTTGCTTTCAACGTCAGCTCTTCGAGGAGAGCCATTATCTCCTTGTTGAATGACTTTATATCGCCACTTACCTTGTTGGGGTTGTGCAAGGAGAAATTGTTCTCGTAATTGATCTTCGAGATGTTGAAGTCGACTGCACTGATTGAAGTAATTTCGACAAAACACTGATTGAACCATATTATCCCACCTTTGTTTCTTGGACATCGCCTACGAAGCTGTCATTTACAATTTACATAGTTAAATCATGTTTCGACGTGTTAAAATAGTTAATACATTAAAATATGAAATATAGCTAATCTATATATAATAGCAATCTAATAAATACCATTTGCACATCTGAACGGTTGCGTCTTTTTATCGCAACTTTTCGTTAATATTTTTATTAATTAAAATATATATTTTACGGTTATGTTTTTTTTTTTTTTTTTTTTTTGCATTCTGAATATTTTCTACGGTTGCGTTTTTATTGTAACTCTTCATAAACAGTTGAAACCGCTTATTCGAATCATTGCAATATTTAGTTTATTTTACGAACAATTGCAACCT